GATATTACAGATACAACTATTTATGAAATAGCAAATTCATGCCATAATCTTCAGGAATTTTATTTTGATGATTGTTTGGATATTACCAAAATTGCAAGAAAGAATTTTAAAAAACAAAAGCCAAATATCAGAACCTGTATATATAGTTCAGGTGCTCATCTCAGATATGAATAAAAGTAAAACTCTAAATACTTATCTGATTCAATTAATATTTTTTCAGATATAATAATTAGTGACAGCTTGATCAAGATAAAAATAGAAAAGCTTGAACTGGTCGAGAGATTTGCATACCATATTGACGAATATAAGAATTCAGAAAAATATAACTCAAAAAACTCGATTTCTCAATGGCCCTTCACATGCTTAATCTCTGGTCGGACCAATTCAGGGAAAACTACTGAAGTTGTTAATCTTTTGCTTGAAAATAAACTCTATCAAATATTTAATGGGAAAAAAGAAGGGGCTAGAGATATTAAGTGTGATGATATCATACTTATTGGACACCATCTCAAGGAACCCAAATATATGTACCTTAAATCAGCATATCAAATAATCGCAAATAGTCCAGAGCCACATCATGAAGATATTACATTTCAGGCTATGAAGCCTGATAAAATTCCAAAACTAGATTCATTTTCTCCAGAAAGAGGTACCATAGCTATATTTGAGGATGTATGTACTGAATTGAAAAAAATCCAGGATAAAATTATACCTTATTTTACTGAGGGATGCCACTCCAATATTAGTTCAATGTATATATCACAAAGCTATTTTGACTGCCCAAAACTAATAAGAAAAAACTTAAAATATGTTATACTTTTTAACGGCTCTTGTACCTCAGATGAGTTAAACAGAATACTCCGTTTATATGTTAATGACTGGCATAGTATCTATAAACTTGTTAATAAGCATCTATGTGAACATAAATTTATTATTTTCAATTTAAGTGTACCTCCTGAACATCCACATAGAGTATGAATTAGTTGGGATAAAATTTTGATATTAGACGAATAAATTAAGATTAAAACAATCAGATAATTATTTTTCCCATTATTTATTGACACATTAATAAAATACATCTATCTGCCACTTCTTATATTATTGAGAAGCTGATCTTATTCAGCAGATGTGAAGTTAGAGTGATGGTTTTAACATCTTATTCGCTACTATTCTCGAATAAAATAGCTATCAGTATTCAGCCTGATTGAGGTTGAAGTAGATGTTAAAAAATAAATAAATTCTATTTGTACTGAGGGGATTTTTTGTGTTGGATAAAATAAATGTATATAGAAATCAAAGTAAAAAATGTTACCAGCCCTCAGGATAATGAAATAAAGTTTATTTTAAATAGATATATTAATCGAATAAATAGATATGTGTATTTATATTTCTAATTGTTGGAGACAGTTACTAAATTTATATCGCAATTGTTCCTTTTTATGATTTATCCAATCATATAGAATAATATATTCCTGATATATACTAATTTCAAATTCAGCTTTATACGGATATCTATTGTATTTTTTTATATACTCAGCATATTCCTTATTAAGACGTATTTTTAATTGATCTAGGGGATTCAGGTTTTTTATTTTTTGCGAAGTTATGCCTAAAAACTTTTTATCATCTGGAATATTATCATTTGGTAAGCTATTCTATGCAAGTCATGCATTTGATAGCTCTTTTTCTTGGAATTGGCGAAATGCTCTTTGTATAATTTTTGCGTATCTATCTCGAGATTTAGGTTTATCACACTCATGATCCCAATATTTCTGCATCAAATCATCTGGCTTGATAATTTTGATATACCTTTTTCTGGTAAAATGGAATGATTTCTTTGATTTTACATTATCAATATGTATAAGTTTCATATAATCTAAACATATCGCTACATTAGGTTTATGGATTCTAGGCCTATAGTAATCATGATTCATTAGCTTAGAATTCCCAAATTCACCAAATAAACAATGTACATGATATACACTTCTTTTCTTTTCAGAAACCAACTCTTATAAAGGAACTCTGATCCGAATAGTCTATTATCATGGAGTTTTATCAGGTTGAATAACTGATAAAGTATCATATCGTCTTTCAGTCTTATAAAGATCATCAAAGTATCATTGATAATCATTAATTCCACAATAATTGTAAATATATAACTTTACATATTTCATATCATATTCAGGACAATTATTAATGAGCTTAACTAATTTAGCTTTTTTATTGATAATAGTTGTAATAGTAAGACCTGACATAATTGGTGATTTATATCAAATTTAGGGATTTGGACCTATAGATTTAATAACTTTATACTCTAGAATAATGCGATTCAATTTTATGTGGATTAGATTCTTGAACTATCTCTTCAAGAGTGTTATATTCATCATATTTTGCGAGTGATGTACTTTAGACATATTATGATCTATTTTTGACATATGAATAATCATTATATAATCTATTTCAGATGTATTATAAGCATATAATTAGGCATTCGCCAGCCTCCGGCTAATTTCCTGGTGTGATCCATCCAATCAGAATAATTAAAAAACTGGAAAATTATTAATCAATCACACCACGTAGAAATTCATTAATTGCATAACTATACTGATGATGATAATCGGTTAGCGGGAATATGCACCACCCATGAAGTGCATCAAAATACTACGTATCAGATTGCTGAATTAGTAGAGTTAGAGGATTAATATGTGTCTTGTTACTAGCCTCGTTATTAATAGCTGATTTTATTATCTCTCCTGAAAGGAGGATGCTTTGCATCTTGATTAATGAAAATACAAAAAAACTAATACTATGGAATGTTAATATAAAGAATAACTGGTAGATCAGTAAATCATATATTGTGATCACTGTTAATTAATTAGTATGAAATCTGATCACCAATAAAGAGCTAATGTCATGATCGGAAAGAATAAACCGAATATAATTTGTGTTAAGAGAAGGTATACTCATAAGATGCACAAGAAACTAAGCTAATTCATCTTTGTTTTGTGAAATTAAGATATATTGATCATCTTTACTGTGAGATATAGTTTTACAAGTTACAGATATAAAAACGTGTATTTTCTGGTTCTAAGATACAGAGTAATTCATATCATAACTTTTTACAAAGCGAAACCCACATAATTTCAAGCAAGTGCTATAATCCATAATTGTAAAAATCTTAATCATATTGGCTTCATTATTACCCAATAAAATCGAATCATAAATTATAGGGCGAAGCCATTGCTTTGCAATACAAACCTATCAGAATGTTCTCGATTACTTCCAATTTTTTACTGTTTTCTGGCTTTATGCTGATTCAAATGATATTTCTATATATCATAACCAGATACAATTCTGAGAACACTAAAAAGCGATTCGATGAGAAAATGACTGTCTCACTCAAAAAACAACAAAAAATTATCTCTGGTTTATCTGAAACTGTAAAACATCTTGGTTATGACATTTGTAAAGTTCGAGATGGGGTCGCGAGAAGTAATAATGCAGGATCTGATACATCCAAAATGCCTCAAAATTATACTGGCACCATTTTCGAACTGTGGGAAGAAATTGATACATTATTCAACAAGAAAAAGCATGTTGAAAAGTGGTTCATGACAAGATTATACCCCAAGGTAGTTGAAGAAATCCAAACCCTTGTTATCAATCATAAGAGGGAGGTAGCAATCAGTGATGCCACCATTAGAAATTTTCATAAAAAAATGACTAAAAACCTGAAAAAAGAGACATTGGACGCATTAAAGTTATGAGTATCGAAACAGAATGGGGTGATAGATACTGAATTGGAAAGTGAGAAGGAAGAAGAAATAAATCACGATAGCTAATGTGGAGTAGGGAAAGGAGCTCTCATTTTATGGGTTAGGGCTCAAGATGCTTCTCCCTCTTTGTTCTTACTTCACAAATGATTCTATTTCAAAGAAATGAGCTACGCTCTACAAGACTGGTCTTTATTGCAGAGCAATGATAATGCAAAGCATCAAGGAAGCTGAGCTTCGAGTCTTATTATGGAACAATGGCACTACGTGCCTGACTCATCTCCAATTCCCTTTAGATCTACATTGTAGCATAAAAAATAATGTTGAAATATATAATTATTATCAATAAAGTTATCAATTATTTGTTATTTTATTTTGTGTAATTAATTGAGTTGTGGTTGTAATTGTTTGAATAATTTGGCGAATCATGAGAGTTACAAGATTTGTTTGACATATTTTTGGGCAAACTTTGTACAGCAATTATAACTTTCTTTTGATCAATGTGAAAAGGGCAGTTAAGAAATAGTGATCATTTTTTTCCAGACAGCTCCAGTCGCCCCATATTTCTAAACGTATATGTACTTCTTTGCATATAGGGTATTTAACTTCTGAATCGATATATTTAAATACATCTCGATGCCATGCATTAGAATTGATAAATATCAAGAAAGGGAAGTGTTTATGTATTACTTCATGAATTGTGCTTTTTTCTTCCAGAAACTTAGAAATTTTGATAATACAGTCTCGTAAGATATAATTATCATGATAAATATTAACCAAACAAACCTAAAATTGGATAACTTAACAGATCAGATTTTACAGGTAACACATACATAAAAAGTTACATACTTGAAAATCGATTGCGTAATACAGTTGTTAGATTAGCATACCACATAATAAATTAGAAGATCATGGAACTTCTGCATGCATGATATAATCGTATGACCTGATTGTTACCAAATCTGATTAACCAACTCGTGTCATATGTATTTTCTTTGTGAAAAGTTTTTTCACTGTGCATATTTACATAGTAAATACCCATGGCTTGCATCGCTCCAGTTCCACATTCTCTGAATCTACTATTCCCACACCTAAATGAGATTAGAAATGAGCAGAGGGAACATTTTAAAAGGACAGTATATCTATGTTATGTTTGTTTGTCATTTTTACTTGTATCTGTGATTTATAATAACAATACTTTTTTACACTAACCGAATACCTATCAGCATGACATATTTAGTATCTAAGATTGAGGTACTTTTATTAGAAGAGTCATTAGACAGTCTTTGTGGTGCGTCTGCAGTTTACCTGGCAATAGAAAACAACCTTTTACCCTCTTTCGAGTATGTAAGAGGAGTGATAGACCGTGCAGTAAATTCGTCATTGTTGAAGATAGAAAGCAATGAATGAAAAACAAAAGTATTGGAAGTGTTATCCCAGGTTGGTAAAAATTCAGATTATATGATATCAGTCATGCTAGCTCCAGCCAATATTTAATGATGACTATGGTAAATATGAATATTTAGTTTTGGTATGTCATAGCTAAAGGTTGGGGAATGCCAGCCTGGAAGAGCTATGTCTTCTAGATGTAGAGGGTTTCTGCTCCTCTCTAACTGTGCATGACTATCAACCAAAATAATGACATTCTATAGTTTCTGAAAATGCACATATGCAGGGCAGATATGATATAACTTGTAATTTTGAGATTAACTAATGTACTGGTACATACTGTTGCATTTACCATAGATTGAGAGTGGATATATTAGCATTCGAGATCTTAAAGTGCTCAAGGTGTTGAATATAGAAAAGGAATTGTACCCAGATTGTTCTCGAGAAGAAATAGACAAGAATATTGATAAATTAAAATATAAACTTGAGGCAAGTATAAAATAGTATAAAGCATTATTACTCTCAAAACTAATAGAATTATATGTCTAGTATCTTGTATCAGAAATGGATACAAGTCTTTATGGCTCGCTTAGACAAACTCTCGAGAATGTGGATATATTGAATCTTACGTGGCGTGATCCTGAAGTAAGTATAATTATTAGCGACAACTCATTCATGGTAAAAAATCTAGGATGTAGACAGAAGGGTACTTTTTTGGAACCATGAGAAAATATGAAATGTGATATACCTGATTCAGTTACAATGAAATGTAATGAATTTATAAGTAATTTTAATAATTCGAATACTTCATGGATTATGAGGAATACTTCTCATGATAAAATATGGAAAGAGGATGAAAATATGATAATAAAAATAACTGAACGTATTCTTGGAACACTGTTAAGTAATTTCCTGATAAATAATATATGTTTTCACATGTTACTAGTATACTTTTATCTAACCATGTCATGTCAGTGTATTCTATTCATTAGTGGCGAGATATAGAAAAATCCTGTGTTTATAACTAGTACATCTCGCAGTGAACAAAGTGAAGGTACTTATATCACAGACGTTATAATTCCTTTGCTTTGATCGAGTTTGGGAGATGATATTATTTGTTTAAGTACAGCAGAATGACAGAGTCTAACAAGCAAAGCTAGACGAAATATAAGAATAGATGAAGAGCAAATGGGAAAGAAGCCTGATATCATGGGATTGTTAAAATAGGATGAAAAGATTTTAGAGTTGATGTACGTTGAGTCTTCACATATCATCTGTACTAATTTAAAAAAAGTAGATGATGGTGTAAAATTATGGAGAGAGACATTAGATGGGATGAGTTTTATAGATGTATCATGTAGACCAGTCAGAAACCAATTTAGGATCGTAGGGCTCCAGATTGCTGGTACAGACTTGCGTCTCAATGTTCTAGTAAAGGACTTGGGTGGTATACCAAGATATTTCCACTTAGACCATTCTGAAATTCCATTAACACCATATATGTCACACACTAAATCTCTAGTTCGTTTATTATTAACCTTAAGAAATATAATAATCGTTAACAAAAGCTTATTAGTACAGGCATTAGAACAAGCTAATACGCATCTACCCTGAAATATTAACCCAAGTTCTACTGTTTCATCTCCACCTTATAATTCTTAGGTAAGTATAGAGATATTATATAAATTATCATATATTTTTATTGTATCGATCATATTGGCTTTGCTAATAAAGGATTCGAGTTGGGGAGATTATATATCATGTCATGTGGTGTGTCTTGTATTGAGATAAAAGTTTATACGTCAATTTTTCTATGCCTATGACCCTCTTTGGGCCTGTGGAATAATGATACTTCGTATCTGGCATGAGCTTCACTCTTAATATGATGCACGTATACATGATCGAATATTGATATGTAACACTCATATAGTCACACCGGAAAATTAATTATATGCTTGTAATACATCCCGAAATAGATTATATAATAATTATTCCAAATATAGTATAACGCATTATTAATAAACCAACTATCTTTCTATTGCTCGGCTATGTATATTCCATGAGACACAGAGTGATATTTCTCCGAAATACTTCTATGTCAATCCTACCTGTGATGTGATTGGTTGATAAATTTATGACTGTTAATAGTTTTTTAATTATTCTGATTGGATAGATGAATAATGGGAGACTGGTGGTATATGATTGCACATGATATCACTCCCTTGATGCTCATTGTAACGTGATATAGCGAAATAAATTAAATATATTTTTATTACGTATCATAGAAACAAAAAATATCTTATGAATTACGTGATCAGATTTCCAAGTATATTGGTTTCAGTTCTGAAGAAATCCATCTCCCAATTACGAATGAAGATAAACAGCTTTTTTGGGAATTAATAGCAGATCAGGAGGAGATAATTGATGTTGTAATGAATGAGTATCGATTTTTACTTCATCATGGACATAACTATAAGGGCGGAAAATTAATACATATAATGTGAGTATATATATGCACTGAAAAAAGTGCTGAGAAAGTATTGATAGAGGTATCTTCATCGAAAATATTATCTAGAAAGGTTTTAGCCCACATTGAAGAACGATTCAAAGATCTTCCACTCGTACCAGTTATTATAGTTAATTAGATAGATCATTACTTTGGAATGCGGACACAGTTGGTATGCTTATTTTTACGATGTTTTCAGATAGGAGAAACAATCTTTTTCTTTTTAACATGAACACGATGAATCAGAGATTCGAGGCTCTGCCTCTTCTTTTGGAGTTTTATTAGGTTGAGATCATACCAGTCTGAATCCATGGATTTTGAATCAGAGCTGGATAAATTAGTCTCTGTCTTAGATTTGTTATGAAATATTCCATGACATTTCTTTCATTACTTATTATTACAAAATAATGATGATGCAGAACATCGAGGAAGCTTAGCTTCGAGTCAAAAACTCATCTCCAATTCCCCTTCAAGTCTATCTTCGATATTTGAAAGAACTTTGTTAATTATATTTATAACCTCCTCTTGAGCTAGATCAGGCTTAGATTCTGTTGATTTAGGGACAAAATCCCATGACTCAGAGAATCGCCTAGGCATGCAAGTGCCATTGTTCCATAATATGGCCTGCTTTGCAATAGATAAGTTATTTTTAGTAGAGCTGGCTTTGTTAAAATCTTTATCAATTAATGGGATACTCATACCATCTATCTCGATTTTAGCATGAGGATCATGGCTTCCTTTAGAAGATAATTTAAAGTTCATTTTAACTTTATGTACTCACAACCACCCTTGATCCAATACCAGATCGAATGTTGGATTCTTGCAAATTTTGAAGTATATTGCATCGGTATAATCTAAACTTTGCCATTTTCCTTTATAGCAAAACTGTAAATCTAAGCAATTTATCTCACCTATTACGTCTCCATAGAGATATTCTGCAGGACCACAGCTAGAACGTATTCCATGGTTCGATTTAAGTTTAATGAACAGGCTCTTGCTAATGGTATTAAACTTCAATAATGTATTAATTAATGCTTTTACTGGGATTTTTCCTTTGACAATAGTATCAATGAACATGTTAAGTATATTTAATAATGTATATTACCATGAAAAAATAATCCGGTAAATAATTAACCATTCTCCACTGCTAAATAAAATTATTTATAACCCACGTTGGAGGATTCTCTCTGAAATGATTAATAATTGCAGAAATAAGATCTGTTTCATCTGATATATAACTCAAATAGTAGTCTCTAAAGGTCCTGGTTATAGTTATCCCATTTCGTCGACCAGTAAAGATTGGAATAAGTAGAAATAAATCAGAAATGGAAAATTTATCATCGGAATAATCTGGAATAAGTGGAGGTAGATCAGAATCCGAGAATTCATCATCAGAATAATCAGGATGTTCAATTTTAATTTTCGGATTGAGTTTTTTCATTACTTCTTTGCTAATTCCTTCACATCCTTTCAAACCAAGATATTTCAAATTAGTACAGTTATGGGCTATTTCCTCAATTATTTTATTGGAAATATCATAAAATCCAAGTTTAAGATGCTGAAGTTTAGGACAAGAACAAATAACATTGCATATCGATAGTTCGGTAATGAAATCACACCCTCCAAGATCAAGATATTCTATTTTATGGCATGTATGAGCTAGTGCCTCAACAATCTCATCACCGACATCATTATGAGAAATATTGAAATATTTTAAATTTGGAGAAGACCTAATAATAGCTACAATAAGAAAATCATTTTGAAAAGCCATAACTCTGACAAAATCGAGATACTCTATTTTGAGATGTGCTTGTATTAACATATCAGCATCTTTGATTTTTTCACGACTAGCTGATATACCTAAGTATCGTAAATTAGAGCATAAGTTTAAAATACAACTTACAGTTCTATCAGTAATCTAATGTACTTCATTAAAATAAAACTCTCTCAAATTATGACATGATTCCGCAATTGTCATTAATGATTTATCAGTAATACTTCTACAGTAAGAAATATTTAGATATTCTAATTTATTACATATTTATGCAATCTCATATAACCCTTTATCAGATATCATTTGATTATCCCATAAATTAAGGTGTTTTAAATTCAGGTATGAAGAAGTTATTTTAATTAATATCTCATCACTAATACCTACGCTATTTTTAAAGTCTAAATAAATTATATTTGGACAGTAATTTATGATAGATCTAATCAATTTGTGTGTAATTGAATGATAATGTGAAATTTTTAAGCTTTTCAGCTTTGAAGCGTAAATTAGTTTTTTCTTCTCGCATATTAATTTTATGAAACTTTCTAATCATGTTTAATATCATTCATAATAGTTATATTCAACTGAGAAATAATGTCTGTGATGAATATCATTACCTTTTAACTCAACTCTCCTCCATAGTAGTGGTATACCACACTTGTACCAAAGCTGATTAACAAATAAAGCAGGATAGAGGGATTGATCAATTTCTAAAAAATATAAGATCTGTTCTAGTAATTCGGATAAATCAAAAATATTTCTCACAAAGTGAGGGCATTTACGTGCCAGACCCTTTGAGAAATCAGAGATTCGATACTTTGTATCATCATTGCTCTGCAATAGTTGTGCCATTCTTAAATTATATATTATATATCTTTAATCGAAAAAAATAGCTAATATTCGGATAATTAATTTTAGGCGTATGGATTTTCCAGATATTCTCAATTACACTTAACCTCATAACTAGTTCCATAGAAAAATGTAAGAGTTTTATTTGGAAAGTCCACTTTCATTGCATTTTCCTGGAATCATGGCTGACCCAATATCAGTACAGATTCAAGTTCAGCTTCATTGGTAACGAAAACATCAGTAACTTTTACTTGCTTTCATTTCTGATCTTGAGACAGAACCGAAATTTCCATTGCATGAATTATTCCCAATATATTGAGCTCACTAATGAGACTGTATATTTCTGTATCAGATGTATTATCAATTTTCAAGCCTACTATTTTTGCTATACTTTCATCTATAATATTATAATTAGCACCAGAATCTAATATAGTTTTAACTGGTACTTTGTTAATTTCGTAAGATAAAATTCTCATCGTGATGTTTTATTATAACAATATATTTAATTCTGCATTTTTAAATTCGTATTAATAAATAATAATTTTGCATTTACAATAACTGAAGATAATAGCAATATTGGACTGGTTCATCAGAATTTACAAGAGAATGATAATGAAATCGCATTACTAATAGAATTAGTGAAAAAATTATCAATATTGATCAATGATAGGGATACAGAAGTAGTTTGTGATTCAGGTTCAGAATGTCCAATTATCACTTATAAGGTTGTGAAAAAATTGGATTTCGAAAAAGATAAAAATTTACCTAATAGCGAAGCTAGTGCCAAGATACATATTACTGATAAAACGGTATCTGATATTGTTAAACAGATATCACATAGAAGAATTTCAATTTCTCTTCACCAATTAATGAAAATAGTGAAACCCAAGATTAGGCTAAAGATTATTGACTTAATAGTAAATTCAGATATTTCTCGAAGAAATCATACACCATCTAAGGCTGAAAGAAAAAAGAGATTTTTAAATGATACTGCATCTGATTCCTCATTCTCGTCTTCATCCGAATATGGATCTATCTCTGAATGATATAATGATGATAAAGATTTCACTATGGGCATAGTGAAAGTGAAGAAGCGTGATTAGTAATTATATAGGTCTATAATATCTGATATCTCAGCATTTTTTTCTCTAGTTATTGGAATATTTCATCTGTTATTCATCACACCATAATGATCTGATGCAATAATAATTACCTTGTATCTTAATGCTAATTGACAGATACATTTACGTTTGGAATCATTCTCATCTCCATGAATATCAATAGCATGATCGGATCTGATTTTTCTCAAATATGATGAGCTTATTCCATAAATAGCTAGGAAATTATTAATCAGATGAACATTTACATCACCATCTTTATCTCTTATTAGAAATAGAAATTTTGCCGGAATTGCTTTCTGGATCTAAATGAGTAATTCCCTGGCCCGTAGTGGATCTTTCTCCATAGATACTAATGATCTAGGTTCGTCTTTTGTATTTTTCGCATATTCAGTGCAGTACCAAGAATATTTAGGATCGTACCAGATCCAAAGGGGCGATCTTAAAAGATCATCAGCATTAGATGGTTTATAGTAATCAATATGAAGATTTGCAATATCTGCTGGCCTCATAGATAACATTATCATTACATCCATTAAATTTTGTATTGTAGGGGAATTGGTAATATTACAACCCTTAAGTCTTTTCTGAACATTTGTAAAATAAAAGAATTCGGAATAATTTAATCCCTCATCTTCACGAAGTTCCTAATTTATCACTTGTTCTTTATTTGATTTTTGAGTAATACCTGGTATATATATTGTTTCTATTATAAGATATTTAGCATTAAGTATACGCAATTTTTTTTGAAGCAATTTAAAACGTGAAGATTGAACTATTACAGTAGGAGCTGTTTTGGCTAAGTTATATGCTAGCATATTTATCTCTTTGGGTTCAAGATTATCTTCATTTTTCTTAATATATTGAGCGAGCTTTTTAATCGGATCTCGTCCTGTAACATGCCTCCCAGAAGTCTGGATAGGAATTAAAGTATATGTTTGATCTTTACTAAATCCTAACTTCCGGATTCTATTTTGAGTGTGATCACGAGCTTTATAATCTTTTAATTCTTTACATATTTTTTCAGCATAATTACCAAGCACAGTGATACTTATCTGAGGAGTTAAGTTATACTGATTTACGAAATTTGTAGCTATCTTTGACATTGTTAATATAGTATAATTTTGCAGACTATAACTATGAAATATATTTTTTTAAATCAAAATTAATTATCTATGGATAGCTATATCTAAAAAGTTGAATGGGTCATGGTTATTGTAATTCTATCAGAAAATGGACACGAACAAGATACGAGTCTGA